ACGCTAACTCAAGAGTCTAGTCTCTTTACTCCCTATTCTTTCTTCATCATCATGTCCTCTAATAAGAAACTTGATCTAGTAAGGAAATATGCAATTGATGATCCTACTAAAACTAGTGCTTGGAAGTGTAGCTTTTGTGCTAAAATCACAAATGGTGGAGTTCAACGTGCAAAACAACATTTGGTTGGCGGTTTTAGGAATGTTACTGAATTTTCTAAAGTTCCAGATCACGTGAAGCAAGAAATAAAAGGGTTCATGCTTCAAAAGGCAGAAATTAAAGCCACTACCTAGATGATGCCACCACCAGTCCCTCAATACGATGATTATGATTACGAGAACGAAGTTCAACTTCAGCCTAGTAATCACAAAGATCATGCACGTCAAGGTCAGTCTGGTCATTCTTTTTTGAAGAACCGCAGAGGTCCAATGGACAGGTTTGTTGTTCAACCTCCTCCTGATGTTTTGAAAGGTAGAAAAGATACAAAACAAGATATATATGGAGTATGTGACAAGGAACTTAGGGACAGGGCATGTAGTGCTATAGCAAGGTGGTTCTATAATGCTGGAATTCCTTTTAATGCAGCTACTTATGATAGTTTTAGAGAGGCACTCGAGTTAGTTGGCCTATACGGTCCTGGCTTTAAGCCACTAACTATGTATGAACTACGAGTTCCTTTGTTGAAAAAAGAAGTCAAAGAAACTGAAAAGCAGTTGGTGGAGCACAAGACAGAATGGGCAACTAAGGGTTGTTCATTCATGTCTGATGGATGGCGTGATTCAGTTGTTCAAAAGGACCTTTTGAACTTCCTTGTTAACTCGCCAAAAGGATCAATTTTCATCAAATCAATTGATGTTTCAGAGGTAGTGAAAGACTCTAATCTACTGTTTAATATGCTTGATAATATGGTGGAAGAAGTTGGAGAATCAAACGTTGTCCAAGTGGTAACCGACAATGCTTCAAACTATGTAAAAGCTAGTGAGTTTTTTTTTTATCTTTAAACTTTATGAATTCTGTTTTTTCATATTGCAGTGTTATGTAATTTCAGATTCAGATTTTGATTTGTAAATTATAATATATTCAGGAAAACTATTAATGGCCAAACGACCACACCTATTTTGGCTTCCTTGTGCTGCACACTGCATAGATCTCATGTTGGAGGATATAGGACAAATTCCTGCGGTGAAAGGTGCAATAAAGAACTGCATCTTCATGAATGGCTACATCTACAGTCATACTTCGCTTGTGAATATGATGAGGAGATTCACAAAGGCAAGAAACCTGCACATACCAGCAGTTACTCGGTTTGCTACAATATTTATCACACTTGGACAGTATCACAAGCAGAAGGGTAACTTGAGGAAGTTGGTCACTTCTCAAAATTGGAATGATTACAAGTGGCCAAAGGAAACAGAAGCTAGGAAAGTGAAACAAATCATTATGCAAGACAATTTTTGGAGGAACGTTTTATATGCACTCAAGTTGAGAGGTCCCTTAGTTAAAGTGCTTAGGATGGTTGACGGAGAGAGAAAACCAGCAATGGGATACATGTATGAAGCCATGGATAGAGCTAAAGAAGCAATCGCTAAGGCCTTCAACAATAGAGAGAAAGATTACAAATGTGCATTTGAGATAATTGATCAGCGTTGGGACTGTCAACTCCATCAGCCAGTGCATGCTGCTGGTTTCTTTCTGAATCCAAAATTTCATTACACTAAAGAGACCGAGGTGAATTGTGAAGAGGTTATGACAGGTTTTTTTGACATCGTCTCAAGGTTGGTTCCTGATCTTGCATCTCAAGACAAGATACTTCAAGAGGTGGATCAATTTAGAAATGCAACAGGACTCTTTGCTCATCCCATGGCAGTAAGACATAGGGATAAGAAATCCCCAGGTAATAATAAGTTGGATCTACATCTATGTTGTGCATTATTAATTGTTAAACGATTTACACAATTTGACTCTGTTTTTAAACAATTTTCAGCTGATTGGTGGTCTTGTTATGGAGCATCTACTCCAACACTTAAAGCATTTGCAATAAAGGTCCTTAGTCTCACGTGTAGTGCAACTGGCTACGAGAGAAATTGGAGTGTATTTAGCCATGTGAGTGACTTATATCAGAAAATCAGATGCTGTCATTTTTTCATATTGTAACGTCCGTAAACCAAAAAAGCGATTTTTTTGGGCATGTGTGTCGATCCACGGGGTAAAATCAGACCGACGGTTTCGGTTTCTGATTTGCCGGTTTGGGGAGCGGTTTAGGAGACACCCTAGGGTTTGTATAAAAAGGCTGGAACAGACGCGTATTGGTCTCATTTTGGCCRAAAATCAGAGAAAGAGGAGGATTCAAGAGAGAATCAAGAGAGGTTGTGAGTTGTGTGTGATTGAGGGTGAAGGACAGCTTCTGTTCGAGTGTTTAAGAGGGCAAACGGCTGGGAAATTCGAGGAGGATTGGGGTGAAACTTTGAGGATAAGTTCTCCAATCTCCGGTCTCGATATGGGCGAAATCCGTTTGTCTTTTCGTTGAATATTCGTTCAGTTATGTCTGTTTGAACTCGATAGGGTTGTGCAGACTTGTTGCTGCGATCAGTTGGCTTCGGGAAGGCTTTCCGATCGAACCAGAACGACTTAGGAGACGATCARCCTATMTGTARAAAGCTCTCTCTGTCTAGTTTCTAAATCAGGTTTYTGATCCTGATTCTGAGGTATTATCCGTTYTCGGTRTGCTTTCAAAGTCAGTGTGTCGTTYCTGTCTTCTGAAATCCTAATTCGGTTTAGGTGATTKTTGGAGGAGACGAACGGCTAGGCAAATCAGGTCRGATCGGGGTGAAACTTTGTGGGTAAGTTCTCTAATCCTTTTTCTTGATGTGGGTGAAAACCGTTCGTCAATGGGTTGAGTAGTTATGATCGTTTTAACTGGGTAGGTTTCTGCAGTTTTCTGCTGCGATCAGTCCACTTAGAGGGAAGATTCTCGTCGAATCAGAAAGAGTCTGGAGATGATCCGCATACTGACGTGTAGCTTGTTCTGTCTAGTTTTCAGAACCGTTTTCCGATTCAGATTTGGATAATCTTTTCGTCGTGTGCGGGGCGTTCTTGTAGGCGTCGCGTTCTTCATCTTTTCAATCCTTTCG